TCCCTTAGGGTCCCGGTCTGGATTGACGGTCTGTGTTCTTGCGGAGCGACGGCACGCCTCCGATTAGATTACATGTATTTTTTTTGCAGTCCTATCAGGAAACGTTCATCACTCTCACACATTACCTGTGAATTATTATTTTTTAAAGGAAACCCTTTATAGCAAACTAATCACAACCATCAGCAGGTGCCTTGAACTTCAACTTATTTTTCCTTTCTTTGCCCGGTTAAAATACAGTATTTCTAAAAAGGTATTTCAAACTGTGAAGTACTGGGTAACAGAGAGGAGCCAAGAAAACTTCCCAGTAACAAAACCAGAGCCATTCTTTCTTACTTTGAATGAAATCAGGCAGTCGCATGTCTTCTAGGACCCCCACCTCAGGACTGGCTACCTGGGGTGCAGTTTGGTAGCGTCTGGGACACTGCAGGACTCCTGGGCTGCCAATCACCCACCTCACAGCCTCCCCCATCAGTGGCCATTCTGACGGCCTCTGGCCTGCCCCACGCCATGACACAACTACGGTTACCATTTATAGAGGCTCACGCCCTGCCATTCTACAGGAATTGGTGTACCGCATCCCACTGACTCCCCAGAGCAGGTCACTGAAGGGATTATGTGAGTGACATGTCCTTCTCACCGATGTGAAGACGGAACTTACGGCGATAAATCATTTGCCCGGCACTGGAAGCTAGCAAGTGGCAAAGACAATGCGTGAAAACCGGGAAACCACCCCGTGCCGTGCCCGGCGTCCCACTGTTCACTGTGGTTCCCAGGACGTAGGAGCCACTGAGCCGGCCCCTCTCCCTCTGCCTCCACCTCCCACACAGCCAGCCGCCCAGGGCGCGATGCCCGCACCGCTACTCACAAGGCACAGCGTGGCGGTACAGGTTGTCCCTGATGGTCTGCTGCAGCTCGTGGTCAGGGGAGCCCTTCTGGAAGCGCTGGCTGAGAAAGTGCCGCAGGTCCTTGCTCAGCTTTCCTCCTGCAGGAAACGTGTAAAACACAGAGCACATCAACCACCGGCCTTGGGAGCGGAGCCACGGGCTGTGCGGGCACCGCAGGTGGCCCTTCCCGCCCCCCCTCAGACACCCCAAGGCTCACTTCAGGTTTCCTCCCCAGGGGAGAAGGCAAGCAAGGATGCAACAATGATAAAGCAGCTTGATTTGGGGTCCCATTTCACACCCTACTAGAAGGCTAATAACAAAGGATTTAAATGAGGCCATTACAGTGAAAACATGTGCCATAGACATCTGCGGACACTCCATGAGAGAGCGATGCTGACGCCTTCGGGAGGACAGTCTGGCCAGAGCTGACAAATTATACAGTGTTCCTGGGCCAGGGATCCAACTGGTGGAAATGTGCCCTGTGGACATACCTGCAAAAGTCTGCTGAAATCTCTACTGGTATCTATTGCACAGCTTTTGTAATGGCAAATAAAAAAATAAAAACAAAAAAACTAGAAACAACCACCAGGGATCAACTAAGTAAAGCACAGTTTATCCGAACAGCGGCCCCCGTGTGAAAGCTGGGTGTGCGTGTGCCCATGCTGTGGAGTTTGTGGAGCAGAGCTCGCTGTCTGCTCCCCTCCTGGGGAAATGAAAAGGGAGAAAAGGAGACACCATGTATGAATGGAGGGAATCATGGGACGTTCTTTTCAATCAGTTTTCTTCAGGAAGAAGGTCTTGAACGGGGGGAACTAAAGGAGATACCGCTCTTTATATCGACAGGTGGAAATATAATATAGAGATCTCACTCCCCTGTGTTGATTTACAAACACTAGATACATATTTCTTTTTTTATCATTGTTGTTGTTTAAGCAATAGTTAACTGGGAGGGGCTATGTGTTTACTTCTTTGTAATGCTCTACACGTAACAGAACAAAAACAAAGCTAAAAATATACATATTCTTACAAATATGTGCCACAGAAAAAAAAGGTAACAAATTTTTAAAATAGTAAACAAGTTATAGTCCACAGGATCCACAGAAGGCCTGCATACCAGCCTAGCGAACGCTCATTCTTAATGGAGAAAGACGCGTCAGTGAAGCTGAAAATAACAAGGCTCAGACTGCCCTCCCATTTTTAGACAAGATAAAGATTACGTAAGAGCATTTCTAGTCTTAGAGAAACAATGCAGCAATCAGCACCCGTGGGAGCCACAACAGTCATGTCTCCAGATGATAACTGCCCCATGGTCAGGAAGAGTAGTTAGGCCATGAGGACGACAGGAGTAGTCAGGGTGACAATATGTCCTGCCAGGGCAGGCAACTACTGATCTATATCCCAATGTCATGTTCAGAACAAGATTCCCTGCTACAGTTTATCATTTTAGAATATACTAACCACCAACCTGAACTACTTTATTTGAGTTGTATTATACCTACAGTTTCAAGTGGCCAAAAAGAAAGTACACAAATTCAAGTCAATCTTAGGTCATTCAATAAACATACAATTACTCATCAAGTATTTACTGAGTGAAGAAGACAAATCCCCACCCACTCGGTCCTAAAATGGGCACAGGGTTTGATCGGACAAAAGAATATCGAAGACTGGCCATTAAGTACATGAAAAGGTATTCAATATCATTAATTATCAGAGAAAGGAAAATTAAAACCACAATAAGGACCTACTACATATCCACTAGAATGGCAAAAATTAAAGGCTGACCATCTCAAGTGTTAGCACGATTGTGTATAAAATGGCTTATTCTCTCGGGAAAACAATTTAGCAGTGTATTATAAAGTTAAGCCTTCACGAACCAAATAGTCCAACATTTCCACGCTTAGCTATGCAAGCAAAATGAAAGCAAGTCCTCCCATACACACACACTTGTAGATAAATCTTCATAGCAACTTTACTCACTATATAATAGGCCCAAGTTACAAACAACCCAAATGCCCATCAGCAGGAGAATGGACAAGCAAACTACATTATATTCAAACAATGGGATGCTACCCCACAATTAGAAGGAGCACATACATAATATTGATAACTCTCAAACACATAATGCTCAGCAAAAGAGGCTAGACACAGAGAGAATATACTGCACAGTTCTCTCTTTACAAAAAGTTTTAGCAAAGGCTAACCAAATTTACAGCATAGTGCTGAAGGCAGTTAGGTGGTTACCCGAGAGCAGACAAAGACTGAAGAAGATGGGCTCAGGGATTTACGGTCTGTGGAGAGTAACAATGCCCAATTCTTGGCTTTGTGATTGTATCATAGCTACGTAGGAGCTACCATTGGGGGAAACTGGGTGAAGGGTACAGGAAACTTCTGCACTATTTTTACAACTTCCTGGGCATCTGCAATGATTCCAAAATAAAATGTTTTAAAAAGGGGAAGCACAGGGAAACTTTCTGGGGGAGCTGTCCATAAAATATATCTTGGTTATGATAGTGACATCCCAGGTTTATACATTTGTCAAGACATTCAGAGCTATATCTGTAAACAAGTGTAATGTATAGTATGCAAATTATACTGTCATACAGTATATTTCAAACATTTAAAATAAACATAATTATTGAATGACTATGTGGTCGGCACTATTCAAAATGCTTAGTTCTCAAAATCTCATTAGAAAACTGAACTAAATGAAAAATAGAATAAATCTTGTTAGTTAAGACAGGCCAGGGTTTAATTCTGGCTCCACTGGGCCTTAGCTGGTGAGCCCAAGGGCACTGTGTAACAACCTCTGGCCCTCACTGCTCTCATATGTGAACACAGAGCACGGCCACCACACAGCTCCCACACCAGATGCTGGGAGGATTCATGAGACAAAGACAGAGCGTGGCAATGAGGAAGCACGCAATGAGCTGGAAATTACCATCATGGGAATACAGAGTGGACAGGGTTTGAGGCAAGAATGAAAGAATCGGGCTCAGTCCAAAGGTGAACTGTTACCTTTTTTTTTTCTTTTTTTTTAATGCAGCTAAACTTAAAACCCATCCCATTGGCTTAGAAACAGTGAGAAATGAAATACAGGCCTAGGGAAACTGGATCACAGGATATTTCTAGAGTTTGTGGAAGGGACTGAAATTCTCCTCGGTCTCAAATGACCTGGACATGTGCACACTGGTTAACACATGTTCAGCGCACGATGGGTTCCAGGCTCTGTGCAGGAGTTAAGTTCAGGGAATGAAACCAGTGGGTAAATCACTGATATTTGATGGTCACACCTGCCAACTCTACCTCTGGGCATAAAGCACTTTGGAATTTCACCAGAAGGATAACCATGTTCACCAGCAAAATCTCTTACCTGGAATCTATGGTTTACCTTCCCCTAAGAGACCAGAGTCCTAGACATTAAAAAAAATACTGACAGTTATCACTTGAGCCATGAGCACAGAGAGTCCATGGGACCCAACAGGAAGCACAATTCCAAAGAAGATCGGGGTACAGGATCTCTTTATCCCTGTATAGCGTAGGTTCCTATCAGTCCCCATTGAGATAAACTATTAGAACATAGAGACACTCTCTGTTTACATGGGAGCTTTACATTAAAACTAGCCAACCCAGTTTGTGGTCATCAAACTCCTCTCTACTGCGAATGTGCAAAAGGGCAGGGCTAACTGTGCTGCCCATTAACATTTACTCTGCGTTCCATGACATTTGTAAGCTAAAAGCCTCAACCTTCACGTTACATTAAGAATACTGTACTTTGGGCATCTAATCTCAAATTAATTGCCAATTATTTAGGGGACATGTCTATAAATCTTCTCCTAATTGCCAAGGGCAGTGAGCCAATGAAATAATATATTGAAAGACAGAGTTTGTCATAGCATCTGCACTTTCTTTGAAATTCAAGATTTGTTTTAAAAGGGAAAAGAAAACATAGGTCAGAAACATGTGGAACATTTTCCAAGAAAAGGATTCAGATGATTTAAGATGATTTTATAATACATATGGGGAAAAGGGAGCTTAGACAGCCCTAAATTTGCCATTCCCTTTATACTAGTATTTTCACTAGATGCCCAGTGCACCAAAATGTGTGCACTTGGGGGAGTCCCTCCGCCAGGCCTGTGCCCTCTCGCATTCCAGGATCCCTCGGGGGATGTCCACCTGCCGGCTTAGGCCCACTCCCCAGGGGGATCAGGCCTAAGCTGGCAGTCAGACATCCCTCTGGCAACCTGGGAGCCCTCGAGTGATGTCCATCTGCCGGCTTAGGCCCTCTCCCAAGGGGATCAGGCCTAAGTCCCAATCGGATATCCTTAGCACTGCCAAGGAAGCAGGAGAGGCTTCCGCCACCACTGCTGTGCTCACAGCCATTAGCTCAGCTTGTGGCTGAGTGGAGCTCCCCCTGTGGGAGCGCACTGACCACCAGGGGCAGCTCCTACGTTGAGAGTCTGCCCCCTGGTGGTCAGTGCACATCATAGTGACCAGTCGTTATTGGTCATTCCACTGTTAGGGTCAATTTACATATGACCCTTTTATTATATAGGATATTTTATCTACATATCTGGCATTCAATCTTTTACATTTAAAACAATGTATTGCTGCTTTTTAAATTCACATTAGTTTACAGAAATTTAACCATATTGATTGATATAATTTGTTATTTTTAAATGTTGTATAATATTTCATTTAAAAAGAGCCTACAGCCACATGCTCTGTGGGCTCTTAGGTCCCACCAGGACAGCCCAGAGTTCCCGAGCAGGAACTGGCAGGCTTTAGGAAGGGGACAGGGCTGGCCTCCAATGGACAACTGTGAAGATGGACCTGAAGGAAGATGCGAGGCCAGTTGGCTCTGCAAAATGTGGGGAAAGCACTTTCTAGGCAGAGGGAACAGCATGTGCAAATGGTGCGGAAGCAGAAAAGAGGCCACGTGTTAGAGAAACAGCACAAAGCTCAGACGAGGGGTGGCACTGAGGTGGAAGCCAGAGAATTCTGTGCCTCCCAAGCCCGAGAAAGAGAGCGTTCTAGTCTAAGCTCAGGAGGAATCCACTACAGGGATGTCAGTCAGAAGGCGGGAAGGCTCCGTCTAAAT